TAGTTCAACTGAACTACAGCAGCTGCAAGGCCAGCATTAGTTAACGGCCCACCGATCGCTCTACACACCTTCATCCACGCCTCTAAACCTCTATTTTTATAAGGAGTGATGGCAGCCTTGCATTCCTTTGTACATTGTTTATAAACTAGCTGCTTAATCAGCTGCATAGCCGCATCCAGGTCTTCAAAGATTCTACCTGCAGCCTCAAACATTCAGGCAACAAAGTCCGAAAATGATTCTGTAGGTCCCTTTAAGAGATTTGTAAGGTTTCCACTCACTTCACCCTTATTAGGCAAGGCCTTCCATGCTTTTATGCCAATTTTATTAATCTGTTCATAAACTTGAACAGGGTAACCGTTTGTTAATTAGTGAATCGACCCTGTCTGAGCAGCATGTCTCTGTCCCAAGCGGCATTTTCCACAGCCTGATTGGCTGCAGCCTCTTGATTAGCAAATTCTATCAGGAAAGCTTTCCAATCTAAATATTGGCCTGGACTCAAACACGCTCGTGCAAAGTCCGCTCCAATCCGTGGGTGTCATGCAATGCCTGTTCAAAGCCTCCACCTGGGCTACAGTGAAAGAGGCTGTGATCCCATAGGTTTGCACGGATTTGGCCAAAGATTTTATCACCTTAAAATCTAAATGTTCATGATAATCGCTGCCCCTGAGGATCCTGAAACACCGGGCATGCTAGGTTTAATTCAGTTCTGACTGTTCTCCATACATCCAGGCTAAAAGAGCTTCCGGATGCACCACTCCTATACGGTGTGGGGGCTACTGGCGTAGAACAGCATGTAGGTGGGGAAGTTCCCCTTTCAAGTTTTTCTCTTTTTCTTTCTAATTGTTATTTTATCCATCTGTTCAATGATGGATTGCAAATCCTCTGACTCGGAACCCTCTGATTCCTCTAAGTCTGACAGAGCAGGGTACAGTCTACCCTTTCCTCCCTTTTTCTTCACTCCTTTATCACTATTGGCCTTTTCAGATCTCTCTTCCTGTAGCATTTCCAAGGCTGCTTGGCCATTCTCCACCACTTCATTACATCTCTGGTCCTCAAGGCAACCTCTCACTAGCTTCCATACCAGTCTGACTCCACTTTTCAATGTACCCTGCTCAACAGCAAAGTCTAAATCTCTATGTAATTTCTCCCAAGAGGACACTGTAAGACTCCCAGACACTGCAAATTAGGGAACAACGATATCACACTCCTGCAAAAATCTCTCTAAAGTACTTTTCTCTACCTTCAATTTCTTTGAAAGTAACAGCTTATTAAGAGCCAGGAAAATTGGGTGCGACGAAGAAGCGCCCATGGTTGACTGTCGTCAGCCTCAAAGAGAAAATTAATATTACTTTCATTTTTGCTCGCCCGTCAACGTGGTTCTGTGCTCTCTCTTTGTCTACAGGGTAGAGCAAATATATTTTCTCCCGCTTTTGTCTCGGATTACCACCTTACCCGGGAACTTACTGGTACACCACCCTGACTGCAGAAAGTTCTGGGCTCGGTTCAGAGAAGGAGGTTCCCCATATGGACCACCACTTGTCGCGACCACCTCGTCCAGCAAGGAAGATGCAACACCGAGCTCTTTCAGCAGTTTATTCAAGAACCTTAAACAATCTGACCCCGGGGAGAACCCTCCCTCAGCCTATATAGCCTTTGGGTAGCCAATCCTAGCTCACCATGTGGGCATCACGAATAGGTCCAGGTATGTGGAAGCAAGCCAGATCCAAGAGCCAAGCCAAATATGGAGTTGTTTACAACAGAGAGCACTCACTGTTGGGAGGGTGGAGGGTGGAAGCCAGTGCCATCTTGGTGCGGCACGCAGCTCTCTACATTTGTTTAAAGGAATTAGAGTCTCCCCGGGAGTCATTGATGCAGACCATACAGGAGAGTTAAAAATCATGGTGGAAGCCACTCAAGGGATACTAGTTATTCTACAAGGAGAACGTATTGCTCAGCTTATTCTTTTACCTTTAGTAGAAACTGGACATTCAGTTCTCAAGACTAACCGAGGCTCAGGAGGTTTCGGGTCAACTGGCTGTCCTCAGGCATTCTGGGTAGCTGAGTTACTTCACTTCCTCAATTATCATTAAGGATAGAAGGAAAAGCATTTACAGGGATTCTGGATATGGGTGCTGATGTGTCCATGCTAGCTAAAGAATTTTGGCTAAAAGAGTGGTCTCTTGAACCATCCCAGTCAACCTTACAAGGAATTGGACATGCTATTTCAGAAAGAAGTGCTTGCATCCTAAAATGGACAGATCAGGAGGGTCATAGTGGACATTTTCAACCATACATGCTGAGAGGATTGCCAACTCATCTGTGGGGTAGGGATGTGCTACAAATAATGGGTGCTGTGCTTACTACACAAACTTTGAAACACCCAAATTCTCCAGTGAATCAAATGATGCTGGATATGGGCTGGGCTGGAAACCAGGTTCTGGGCTTGATAAGTTGGAACAAGGCCGATCTTCCACAGGCTGTTCAAGCCAATGTGTTCCTTTTAAGAATAAAGAGAGGACATGTCGGCAGCAATAAGTTTGCTGCCTTAATCTTAAATGCTTTTTTTTTTGTCCTGTCCCAGTTAAGTTGTTGGTATGAAAATGTGTAGTTGGTTTGCGGAAAGTGCTGGGGATCAGTTCCCCTGTGGTTTTACTGTCTGGTGAACAGTGTCCCCACCAGATACAGAGTAACCGTTCCTTGACCCCTGCTGTTAGAGGGATATATAAGTCCATGTTTGTGTGAATAAAGAGAGCTTCCCTGATGAACGGAGACTGGGTGTCTTGAGTGCTCTTCAACCTCGGCGTCCCTCGCCAGATTTTGTGCTCCAGCTGCGCAGGTCAAGGCATGACATACTGCCTAAGTTAAGTCAACTGCCACTCATTTCATAAAAGGGTGGAGCAGAGTGTGTCTCTTGTATGGCACCATTAACAGGATTTAGTCTTTCTGTGACGATCAGCAATGGTGTTAATGCTCAATGTTCTCCTACCTCACATCATGAGAATCAGAAGGCTGCTGGCCTTCTCAGACTTTCCTTCTTTCTGTTGGCCTTTCTGATTCTTCTTCATGAAGGAGTTGGCAGGTGCCAAGGTGGAAAGGCATTCCCCACCATTCTCCATGGCCCCACAAGCTTCCCTCCCTCCAGTGCCACCAAGACTTGACATTCTACAACAGGAAGCATCTGGTCGTGTCAGCACTTCAGTCCTGAGCAGTGTCTAAAATATTCACACAGGTCTGCCATTTTTATGAGGGCAGAGGGCTTCCTGGGGGAGTGAGCTGGGAAAGTGCCCATGGCCCAAAGGCAAGGACCAGGAGCAGGCCTATAACAGGTCCTAGGAGGGAGGGAAAACGGGTCGTTAGCCGTTTTCTCTTTTCTAGTTCTTCCTTTTGTTCCTGTCTCTCTTGTTATAAACCTTTTCTGCCACTGCCACTAAATCCCTCAAACCCCTCTCCTCTAGTCTTTCTAGTGACTGTAGGTTTTTTCTAATATCTGGTGCTGTCTGGTTCACATAGGCTAGAATAACTGCTTGTTGGGCTTTCTCCATTCCCCTGCCTTGTATCGTGAATTTCTGCCATATTAGTAGGCTTGCGTGCAGGAGCCTTGAGACCTGCCAACACAGCCTGGCAGTATACACGGAGACTCTCCTGACCTTCTGCCATGTCATAGTCCCAGTTAGGGTGAGTGGATGGAAAAGCTTCTGCTCCTAAGGCAGGATGGGGTAGGATGGGTCCTGGAACTAGCTTCTGAGCACTCTCCAGAATCCTACATGCAGGGGAACCTGTTGTGGCACACCGCCAGAGCAGCAGAAAATGGGGAGAGGAAATGACTCACAGGTGGAGGGGCCTGGAGGAACGGGGAGCAGGAAAGATCCGCCAGGAAACCGCCGGCAAGACTGGACACACGCCTCCACGTGTCCTTGGGGCCCTGGGCTGATAAACCCGAGCCTTCACTTGCAAGATGATGTCAATGTTAAAAGAACCAAATGTCGGCCACTCTGAGGAGCAGAAAATTATCCATTTCCATGCAGGCATCGTGAGCTCAGGCCTTGACGTCTCTTCAGTGGTCTAAAGTCAGGCTCAAAGGGGTGGTAATTGATTGTCCCAAAGTCGGGGAGATGTAGAGATAAAGAGAACAGCGAGATCACAAAAACAAACAAGACTCAACACAAACCGTGTGGCTGCCTTCCCCACTGATCCAAACACAGATTGAGGTCCTGCCGAGGTACAAATTATGGGCGCAGATCACCCGAACAGACAACAGACATAGCACACAAAGAGAGAGCTCAATCTTACCTCCAAATAGTCACGGAATTCGGGCCACAGTAGGCCGAAGGAGCACACTCAGGATCCCTGGAAATGGGTGTGGGGGGACACCGGGCAAAGCTACGTGCATTGGGCGGTTGGTCTAGGGGGACCATGCGGGAGGGAATCCGAAGAAGGGCTAGAGAAGAGACTTTTCTCACTGAGGGCTGGACTGACTCAGCCCAACGAGCCTCCAGCCTGGGGACTGAAAGCAGCGCTCTCAGTCTGTAGTTTGTGTTGCTGAATCTCACGTTCAAGTGTGTAGAAGGCATTTTTCACACCCTCCCGGGTCCTGTCTGATATTTCAGTGTAGGGGATGCCATAGCTGCGGACAAGGTCCTGGGCTGGCCAAGACTTAACAGTACGAGCAGCTAGGTCACACTTGTTCCCCACCAGCACCATTGGCACATCATCCGAGTCCTTTATCCATTTGATCTGCTCCCTGTACTGATGGATGTTGTTAGAGGACTTGGTGCTGTTGATGGCAAACACACAGGGGAAACCCTCCCTCCCCTGTGTGGATGCATTGGTCCCTCGTGGCACCACATTCCTCCCAACCCACTGTGTCTAGGATGTCCAGCAGACATGCCTCCCCATCAATGACCACCTGTTTCTGATAGACATCCTCTATGGTGGGGCCACATTCATCCACAAAATGATTCTGGATCAGCTGGATGGTCAGGGCACTCTTTCCCACACCTCCAGCACCCACCACCGCAAGCCTGTATTCTGTCATCATTTTTTGTAGGGACTGGCACTCCAGGACCTCCTGCCCCACTAGGGGCATGAAGGAGTGGCTGGGGAGCAGAAGGTCCTGATTGGGTCCCGATGCGAGTGTCCTTGTAGCCCTGAAGCCAGAATGTGATGGCCTCAGTGTGCAGAATAACTGAATATGGGTGCTAACTGCTATTGATCAGATGATATTTGGCTCTGGGTTTAACTCCCTGTGTTTGTAAAAGGGGGTATCTTTAGGAAGGTTTGACAAACCTATGTTATTTTTTCCTTGTTAGTTAACCTGACCTTGGGCATCTTTTTGTTGTGGAGGGGTGGGAAGAAGTTTTAGATTTCTGGCTGGGAGCCAGATTGTGGTTGGTTCTCCAAAGGGGAAGATGCAACCATACCCCCTCCCCATAGTAAGCAAGGGATCTGGTCCCCACCCACTGAAGTGTTACAGGGTCCCTCCATTGTACTTGAATCTGAAGGTTGGGGTTTGATTGACCCAATGTTTTTGAAATCTGGTTTCACTCGCTCCTTTGGATAGATTCAAAATATTAGTAGTGAATAAGGCCTGATGTAACTGAATATGGGGGGTTACTATTCCTTTTTGTTTTCATAGCTCTTCTTTAAGGCATTGGTGGTTTCTTTCAATGATTGCCTGCCCTTGTGGATTGTGGGGGATTCCTGTGGTCTGTTTCATATGCCTTTGCTGAAAGAACTCTGTCATGGCCCTGCTGGTGAAGCAAAGTCCACTATCTTTTAATTTGTGATTGCAGGCCCAGAGTAGCAAAACACTGAAGGAAATGGGAATGTGAATATTTTGTCCTTTCTCCTGTGTGGTCTGTGGCCCAGCAGGCCCCTGAAAAGGTGTCTATTGATACAAAAATGTACTTAAGTTTGCCAAAGGGTGAGAAATGAGTAGATTGAAAGGCCCCTGAACATTTTGAAGGGCCGTGATAACTGCCAACATTTCTTTATATTGTACTGATCCCTGGCAGGGTCGGAACTCACTCCAGCTATGGGGAATTCTGTAGGTCTTTCATCTAGCTTACCCCAGGCTGTTAGTCCTGCCTTTCACACCTGGTCTCGGTATGGCACTGGGACCGTGGCCTGCTGGACTACAGTAGAGTACCCGTCAGCAGTTCCTGCCAACATGCCATAAGTAATCAGGATCGCGGGCTGAGCAGCTCGATTGGCCTCTGCTCGAACTCTACATTCCTCCTTATAGTGGCCACACCATTTTATATATTGGGTGCGTGAGAAGACAGCCTTAGCCAGGTCCAGCCAATCCTTGGGATCACAAGGATTATACGTATTATCTTGCAGTAGGGTCTGAGACCAAGGGGCATTCAGCCCATCCTCTGCCACTGCCTTGTGGAGTTCCTTAATGTCTTTAGCCTCCCATGGGTACCATTCTTGTGGCCTATTAGGGCCAGGGGCCAGATTAACGGGAAATGCCTAGAGGGTCTGTTCTTTGGGCCCTGTGCCACTGGCTCCCGATCCCTGGCTGATGGCCAGTCAGTCATGGGTACCCCAGTCATATAGGTCCCTTCTAGAGGGTAGTATATGGCAAGGAGCATTCCCCTGTTTCAAGGATATAAGGCGGGGGCCCTGCTCCTTCGGGGCATATGGATCATAAGGCGCAGGGCGGGGTGACTTTAAACTTGGTCTCTTCACCCTCCTGTGGTCCTCTTTGCCTTCTCTGGCTTCCCCTGGCTCTTGGGGATTTTTTTGAAAAATAGCATTAACCATACTGAGGGTTTCACTTACCCTGGAAGACTGTTTGGCCTCGGCCAAAGTACTTCAAGCCCCATGTTTAGGGCGCCAGCTGTGGGGACCTGCCCCACCGGGAACTTAGGTCACCTGTGAAGAGGTGGCCTGGAACCGAGGAAAGGCAAGTGTGCACCACTCGCCCGTTTCCCAGCCTCCCTCTTACCCAGAGACAATCAGATGCAATGGGGTCTCAAGTCAAGCAAGAACTTGTTTATTGATAGGCAGTAACCTTCCTTTATACCAGAAAACCTCCAAACCTTAGGAGTGGGTGAAGGAACAAACTGATCATTTTAAAGGGCTCCCTATTTACAAGTTGTTTATGTCCTGACACTATCTCTCGTTTTTTACTATATTATCTTAGCATAAATAACTTGAGCTAACTTTCTTTCTCACCTTTTGTATCTACTCTCTGCATAAACACCTTAAAGCTTAAGCTCTATTTTATGTGAATTTCTCTGGGCACCCTCTTTGCAGCCCATGTATGCCACACACACTGGGACCAAAGGAACGGTTCAGTTGGCATGGGCCATTCTGGGGGCCCACACCTGCCTCCCCAGAGGGAATTCCTCCTTTGGCTAATGGAGCTGGAGCTTGCCCCTTATTTAGTTTAAAGGTTTCCCATCTATGTTGAATTTTGACCTGCAGTGTTATTTCCAATGATACCCTTTTTGCACCTAGGAAAGATAGTGGTAGGTGGCTTTATTTACCCTGGCCAACCTAAAGCCTTTTGTTGGCTGGCAGGAGGCCTTTGCAGAGGACACACTCATTTAAAATACCCCTCCTGTCCACATCTGAAGCAGGCCTCCTGGATCACAGGCTTTGATGTTCCCTGACTCTGGGTTTCCAGGGCCTGTGAGAAATCCTCAGTCAGGGCAGCCGTCTAGGATTGCAATGCTAAGGCCAGTGTTTGGGTCTGGCGATGTTGGTCGCCAAGATCCTGGGTGGCCTCTTTCATGCCTGTGCAGGAAGCAGTGTTCTGAATTCATTCCAGCCCAGCCAGAATCTTTATAAATTGGTCCCGGAGGGGTCCAGTCGGTAGTTGGTGATAATGCTCTGTTGAACCCAGGCTATAAACTCTGCTAGGGTCTTATTGTGCTTCTGCCTGACTCTGGCTATGGGGGATTTTGTAGGTTCCTCATCTAGCTTGCCCGGGGCCGCCAGCCCCACCTGTCGCACCTGGTCTTAATATGGTGCCGGGACTGCGGCCTGCTGGACCCCCGTAGGGTACCCATTAGCAGTACCCACCAACATCCTATAAGTAATCAGGATTGTGTACTAAGCAGTTCTATTGGCTTCTGCTCAGACTCTACATTCCTACTTATAGTGGGTGCACCATTTGATGTATTAAGTGCTTCAAAGGACAGCGTTAGCTAGGTCCAGCCAATCCTTGGGGACACAGGGATTATATGCAATATCCTGTAGTAGGGTCTGGGACCAAGGGGCATTTGGACCATCCTCTGCCACTGCCTTGTGGAGTTCCATAAGGTCATTGGCCTCCCATGGGTACCATTCTTGTGGCCTATTAGGGCTGTGGGCAAGATTAACGGGAAATGACTGGGGGACTGCTCTTGGAGCTCTGTGCTTTGCCTCCCTTGGGGCCCTATCTGGGTAATATAGGCCTCTGCATAAGTTGATTCGTTGGCTCTCAGATTCCTGGCTGATGACCCCAGTCACGTAGGTCCCTTCTAAGGGGTAGTGTATGGCAAGCATTCCCCTATTTCTAGGATGTAAGGTGGCAGACCCTGCTCCTTCGGGGAGCATGGCTCACAAGTCTTGGAGCGGGTGACTTTAACTTGTTCTCTTTACCCTCCTGGTCTTCTGCCTTCTTTGGCCTCCCCTGGCTCTTGGGAATTTTTGGAGAGATTTCATTACCCATACTTAGGGTTTCATTCACCCTGAAAGAACCAAACATACTTTTCAAGCCCCACGTTGGCCGCCAGCTGTGGGGTCTCACCCCACCAGGAACTTAGATCGCCTCTGAGGAGGTGGTCTGGATCCAAGGAAACATAAGTGTGCTGCTCTCCTGTTTCCCAGCCTTCCTCTTATCTGGAGACAATCAGTTGCAGCGGATAGTCATGTCAAGCAGGAACTCGTTTATTAGGCAGTAAGCATCTTTTAAAGCTGAAAACTGCAGAACACGGTGTTTGGGGTGGGGTGGGGCGGTGGTTTTAAAGGTCACCCTATACTCATTTTTTTCTATGAGCTGTTTATGTACTGACATCATAGTCATTCCTTTGTTTGATTTTTGTATCCAGTCTAATCTCAGTGCAAACAACTTAGGCTCCTTTTTTGTGGCCCATGTGCCCCTCATGGGGCCACAAATCTAAGACCAAAATCCTCCTCCTTACCCTTCTTCCTGTCCTCTCCTCCCACTGCTTCCCCATATCTCCCAATGTCTCAACCTACACACTCTGGCCTAACACCCCAAATCTTCGCTGTTCTCTTATAGTTGGTCTCACCAGACTCCTGCCTTCCCACCCATTTCATTTCTTAGCACCAGATATTAGAAAAAAAATTAAAAAGGCTGAGGAATATCCCCAAAATCATCTACAGGAATTGGTGAAAATGGCTTTTAAAGTTTTTAGTGCTCGAGAATGACAGCTGAGTCAACCTGTTAGACAAGGCTGCAACAGAATATGCTCTAAGCCCAAGCCTTAGCAGCTGCTCTGAGGCCCCCACAGCCCCCACAAGGGGTACAAGGGAAGTCGGCCACAAGACTCCATCCCACTGGAGCTCAGTCCAAGTCAACTCGGCCAGACATTGCTTCAGATGTGGTAAGCAGGGCCACTAGTCACAGTATTGCCCCGACCCCTAGCTGCCCAGGAGGCCGTGCCCAATCTGCCGACAGACTGGGCACTGGAAATCGGAATGCACTTGTGCAGGCTCGTCCTCTATGCCATGCCATGGAGGTTGAGACTCACCGACACTGTCAGCTGAGAACTCCTCAGCCTGGCAGAGAACTGACGCAGCCTAGACTGCTGACTCCCGTTGCCCTCTTGGAGCCTAGGGCGACACTGCAGGTAGCAAAGTTAAGTCCAGTGCCTGTCTTTTGGACATGGGAGCTGCCTATTCTGTTAAGACATTTCAGTTCCCTCACCAATTTCTGTCACGGGGGTGGACCAGATCCCTTCCTTCCCACCTAAGATTCTGACACTTCTCTGCATTCTTGTGATTCTTCTCTCACTCTTTCTGGTCATACCTGCTTGCCCTGTGCCTCTGCTTGGTCACAGTGTTCTCCGCTTTTTGGGGGCCACTCTCACCTTGGCCCCCACACTCTCCTGAGTATTTCACAGGTCCATAAATGGGTTGCTCCAGATATATGTCAGCCTCTGCACCAGCTTCACGGACACCAACCAGGCGAGGATTGGCAGGTGGACTTCACTCACATGCGCACACCTAAGGAATTCGTTACCTCCTATGATTGACACCTTTATCCTCAAGAAAGGTTGAGAAGGCCAATGGACTCATCAAATGACAGCTCACCAAGCTCTCCATTGAACTCAGGTTATCTTGGCCCTCCCTTCTCCCCATTGCCCATAACCACCTCCCGGGCCACCCCACACTCTCCTACAGTTTTTAGCCCTTTTGAGCTCCTCTATGGAAGGCTCTTCCTTTTCAGTCACCACCTCCCAGCCCAAACTCCCCCATTGGCGGGTACCTCCCCTACCACTTTTCTGACATCCCTTTTCCATTCATACTGTGATCCTCACTACCCACTCGGCTGCCAAGCTTCTGGGACATCCATGCTGGTACCATCTCTCAGGCTCAAGCAGGCACCTATTCAGGATACATGGTCTGTCCAGCACCTGGGAACCTACCCCCTCCAGTTTTCTAAGATGTTCCAACAAAGGGCCTTTGTACATTCATCTTGACAGTACAACTAGGGCAGATGTTAATGGTCTATTTTTTTCTAGAAATTTGCCGCCTTTGATTCCTCAAGAAACAGATGCTTGAGGTCTCCAGGATGACAGTTAACCAGATGCTTCTCCACTCACACCTGCTGAATGTGAGCTCACCAATTCCTGATTCTTCCCCACGTCGACCCATGCCCGCAGGAAGTAGTCAGACTTGAACCAGCGTCCCTATACCCAAAGAGTCTGGAATGTTCTGGTGGAAGATCCACCTCAACTCCCCTCCCCTATCTCCTTCCTCAAACCCACTCCGAAGACTACCAAACACAGCTTATTCTGGTAGAAGATCTAAACCAACTCCCCTCCCCCATCTCTTTGCCCAAATCTACTCCTTCTAAGCCCACCAAACATAGCTCCTCCCCCAGAGAGGCTCAAGACCACTCCCACAGGTATATACTGTGCTGCATTCCAGAAAACAAACATGTGGTTCTTCCGGTCTCTTGTCCTGGTCTCCTCTCTGCGGGGCTGGGGAATCACCCAGGAATGCTTCACCCATTAAACCTGGGCTTTTCCAATTCAGTCTGATTCTGTTTAATTTGGAATGCTGTGTCGGTGAAGAGGCCTTCAGTGTACACAGACTTATCACCCCTCAAGCTTAGCAGCTGTGGGGGTTACAGTAATTACCTTGAAGGGGCCCTGCCATTTAGGGGAAAGTGGTGAGGGACATGATCCTCAGTGTTGATCAGGAATGGACAGGGGTTGGCGTATGGTCAGAGTAGAGGAATCTCAAACTCTTAAGGACACACATGTTCCATTATCAACAGTTGTACAGGACTACATAAAGTCACTTTTATGCAAGTATACAAATGCTCTCGGTGCATAGCCTGCATGTCCGACCATCAGTGCATTTGTCTCCAGACAGTTCTAGTCCTGTACAACAATAATAAACTGTTAAATAAAAGTCGCAATACTCATCATGGATTTCAGTAAGCCAAGCTAAAACCAAAACAGAGTCATGCATGTTAAAATTTAAATGGACATGATGACACCAAATTGTTCATCAAACTTTTTAAGAAATCTGTGTTGAGAGGAAATTTCTGAAGGGGGGCAAATTGATTCAAGTAATAGTAAGTGTCCTTCTATCTTAATTCTGCCACAAAAGAGATCACTCAAGGACTAGGATTTGACAAAAGACAGCACACCTGCCCTGCATAAGGCCATACAACTAATTGCTAACACAACAGGAAAAAGTACAAAATTCCCTAAATATAACTGGAAAATTGATAGTGTTTCAACTAATTCATTGAGAAGTTTACATTCAAAAGCATTGCAGAACTTAGCAAAAGTCTCAGAACTAAGCCAGTATGAGTCAGACCTTGCATTCAGGAGGCTGAGGCTAGAAGATTGTTATGAATTGGATGTGAGCCTGAGCTATAGGGTGAGTTCAGGTGATGGACATAGACTGCAAAATGAGACCATAGCAAAAGCACATCTAAGGTTTGGCTCTACGTTCCATCCCTTTGTCTGTCTGTCTGTCTGTCTGTCTGTCTGTCTGTCTGTCTGTCTGTCTGTCTGTCTGTCTCTCTCTCTCTCTCTCTCTCTCTCTCTCTCTCCAACGCATTAATGTCATAAAATTTAATCTAGATTCCTATAAGAGAGAACACTTGTCATTCTTTTCCTTCATTACTGTCTCTTGTCTTTCCCTCTCTTAAGTCCTCTTTGACGTTCATTGCTCTTTAATGTTTGAGAGCAACCTGACCTAAAAACAGACACTTGGGACATTAGCACTGTGAAATAACACCCACCCACTCTCCACCCTGGAATGGAGAAGTCTAACTGCAATCAAAATTGCAAACCACTGGTGTAGCTAGGAATAGCATGGAGCTGGGGTGGGGGTCAGACTCCAACTATCCCTTTCCTAGATAGAAATTTCTCAGTGGTGTGATTGATTCCCAGTGGCCAATCTCAGAACTTGGGTGGGAAGGCAACCACTTTTAAGATCACTTTCCCACACCTGTAGCACTATGAGCCTAAGTAGATGCTGGCCTTGGCGAGATGACAACATTTCTCTCATCCATTTCTTTGAAAATTTGGATGTCTTGACAAGAATTATGAGGTGTGGATTTGCACTCAAATTTAATTCTTTGAAACTCGGTCTTGTGTAGTCCAGGTTGGTCTTCAACTTGCCCTATAGCTAAGGATGTCTTTGAATTGACCCCCTGCTTCTAGAGTTCTGAGATTACAGGCTTATACCTGTACTCAATTTACACAGTAGTGTGTGCATTCTAGGCAAGCACTAAACCATATCCCCCACCCTCAGAACTTCTCTGTGCAAAGGTTGTCGTGGACTTGGAGACCTCCCCAAAGACTCCTCCTAAGACTTAAAGCAGCTTTTCATCTGCCGGAACCCAGGTCCATGATAAAGTCTGGCTCAGAGACTTAGAGAGGCAGGTGTGGTGTTGATCATAGTGAAAGTCTGGTGCCAGGGTCTTTCTGTTATGAGGGGATTTAGAGCAGAGATAAAACTGCAAACACCTGAGCCTGCCAGGTGTCATGCCAAGCCATGGGTTCAGTCTGGAAAATCCTGTCGTTTTCTTCTGAAAAGAGGGCCCCTTCTTCCCTTCTCCCTTTTCCTCACCCCCTTCTTTTTTGGGACAGGATCTTGCTGTAGATCAAGCTAGCCTCAAAACTCAAGGTAATCCTCCTGACTTAACCTTTTTTAAAAAGATACTTGACTATTATTGTGTGAGTCTCTCCCTCCCGTGTGTGTGTGTGTGTGTGTGTGTGTGTGTGTGTGTGTGTGTGTGTGAACACAAGTGTGGAAGCAGAGGGCAACTTTGGGGGAGTGGGCTCTGGGGATCTACCATGTGGGCTCTGAGGCTCTAACTCAGGGCATCAGGCTGAGTGGCAAGTGCCTTTACATACTGAGCCATCTCACAGGTCCAACAACTTCTTAAGTCATGGTTTCAAGGCCTCTCTCCAAATATAGTCTTAGAAATTGGGGAGGGGACACACACCTCAGTACGTAAGATATTGTCACCAGTTCCTCAGCACAGTTCTCTGGTCAAGTTGCATAAAAATACTAATGGCAAAAAAAGAAAAAAGAAAAGAAAATGGTTTTGTGTCTTTTACATATAACCCCCTTTAAAGGCTAATGGATCATTTTTTAAAATGAAAAGTTGGACTAGCTGAGTGGATCCCACTGATAGTAGCTTTGGCTATAAGAGCTTCACACAGGGTTGGGAAGTAGGCAGGTGGTAGAGCACTCATCCAATAGGCCTGAGCTGCTGGGCCTGCCTTCCCTGCCACCACGCTGCCTTTTTCTGTGTTGCTTTTGCTTTCCAACCTTTTAACAAACCACAGCAGCCAGACCTGATACCTGCCCAGTCCTCTGACTAGAATAGTAGGATTACTAGAGGTGGTTCCCAGGACCCAACAGCAGTCACAGGCGACTTCTGGTATGTTGGTAGTGCCTTCTTTTTCAGTCTGGATACTCTTTGTACAATATGTGTCCAGCTAGAGGAAACTCAACATGTGCAACCAGACCAGTTTTCTATAAGCACACCATATTTCAATGAAAAGCTTAAATAACCCAAGAGTGGTGGCGTACTCCTGTAATATCGGCATATAGAAGCTGAAGCAGGGCTGCGAAGTCCAAAGCCTATCTAGGCAGCTTAGAAAGATAGTTTTTATTAAATTATTTAAAAATAAATTAATTAAAAATTTAAAGAGTGGGGATTGCTGGAAAGACGGCTCAGCAGACAGGGCACCTGCTATGAGTTGGAATCCCCAGAAGCCACTTCAAAGCCAGAGGAAGGTGTTAGATCCTCACAGAACAATGAGGCACAGGTGAACCACATGAGCACTCTGGCTGAGAAGAAGAAACCAGGACCAAATCTGGTCAGGCTGACGATCTCTGCATATCCAATTAGTTCTTGGTTTCCCAGGCTATCCCATGGGCATTCAGTCCTCAAGTCCCCGGCCATCAAGTTTCTTGCTCACAAGATACAGGTTTTAACAGGAGCTGCACCATTAGAGCACCCACATGATGCAGAGTGCTGGGTGGCTTCCGTTTTAAATCCCCGTGACCAATCAGCAACGCGCAGGCCTTTGAAAGATTCCCAGTACCTTGTTTGTATTCGAGGGGGAGCAGAGCAAGTTTAGGAGCATGAAAGCAGCAGCCAAAGCTGGAAAGCCGGCTCTAGCACCAGCCGACCTCCGGAAAGCCAGGGTCCAGGGAGATGCAGGTCCCAGTGCCCCAGTGGCGGCCCCACTGTTGAAAGAGATTCCAGAGGTCTTAGTGGACAAATGCAGCAGGCGCCTTTATGTAAGGGGACGCTTTCTGAGTAAAGCAGGCGTTATCAAATGCTTTGAGATCTCAGACCGAGACACAAAGGAGGTGTTCGCAGCCAAGATCGTGCCTAAGTCTTTGCTCACACCCTCCCAGAAGGAGAAGCTGTCCAAAGAGATTTCCATTCACCGCAGCCTCTCACATCAACACGTCGTCGGCTTCCACAGCGTTTTCGAAGACAGTGAATTTGTGTTTGTGATTTTGGAGCTTTGTCGGGAGAGGGTGTTCACATAGGGAATTTGCTGGCAAAGGGCTACTGATGCCTTGGAGTAGCCTTAGAGGAGTGCTTGGGTTTCAGGACTCTCTGTAAGGGCATGTGTTAACAGGAGAGGGTCCTGTGAATGATAATGACCCGTGTATGGGCAGAATCATCAGGAGTCTGCCAAGACCTCCCTTTAATCCCGAGAGCTTAGTCCTGGTCCCATCCAGCTGGTCACCCTTTTCGGTGGGCTTCAGTAACTTCTTCCTTCTCCCTCAGTCCCTCCTGGAGCTGCACAAGAGGAGGAAAGGCCTGACCCAGCTGGAGGCGCGCTACTACCTAAGGCAGATAATCCTGGGCTGCCAGTACCTGCACCACCATCAGGTCATTCACGGGAACCTTAGGTTGAGCAACGTCTTCCTGAACGAGGATCTGGAGGTGAAAATAGGTGAGGTACTGTTAGCAGGCTGTTAGCAGCATCAACCCATTACTTGTTCTTGCAGCCTTCAGAAGTAAAGGTATTTTATTAAAAACAATTCTTTTCAGGGTAAGGGCATGGCTCAGGGTTGGAGCACCTGCCTAGGGTCCCCCAGTGAGAGACTTGGGCGTGGCTAAGGGGTAGAGCCCCCACCTAGAATCCCCCAGTGAGGGCCTGGTGGTTTGGCTCAGGAGTGTAGTCCCTGCCTAGGATCCTCTTCTGAGAGGCTGGGGTTGTGGCTCAGGGGTAGAGCCTCTGCCTAGAATTCCCCAGCATCACCCAGGTGTAGACTTTTATCGATTTCCAGACATTACTCTCAAGCAATTATTTCCTAACTCCCTGACTCTTCCCTTATCAGTGGTACAAAACTCCTTTCAGGAAAGAAGAAAACCTGACTTGTGAGAAGAAAGGATCAATGCTCCGATACTTCCCAAGCTTCCTAGCAAGGATGAATCACATCAGTGCTGTACTGTAGAAAATTGGGACCTCAGCTCAGGAGCATGCACAGAGGACCCCAGAGAGAGTCCGGGCCTCCAGTCTGGGTCGGATTCAGGGAGTTGCTTTAAGGACCCCCGTTCTGTGGCTCGGATGCCTGTCGGCCCAGGCTCTAGCCTTGACCAGCCCTCGGGGGCGCCCCTAAATTCTGCCCTGATGCACCCGCAACTCACCCCACGTCCTACTCGGAGGAGTGTGCCAGTTTTCTGCAAGCTTCTCAGGGCCTAGGAGGCAGAGAGGTCCGTGTATCCTTGCAAGTGGAGGGTGTTTCTGCAGGCAGCATGCCGAGTGAGTACCAAGCTCGCACTTGGTCTGTATCTTCCAGCAAAGGGCTGGAAGGGGGCGTGCCTTCAAGACTTCTCTCAGAGGTGCAGGCTTCCAGCCCGACTCGGAAAGCACTAAATACTAGCGCGCGGGGGGGGCAGGGCTACCGTAGCGCCCCGCCTCTCTCAGCTCTATGGAGCTGGGAAATGGGAAAGCACCAACCACAGGAGGCTTCCGTGGTGTGCCCTCAGATGGGGCATGGCCTCAATACTCGAGGCAATCCTCCTGACTTAACCTCTTGGGGACTGGAATTCTAGACATGATCCACCGTGGCTGGTTAAACATCTCCCCTTAGAGGATATCACATTTTGTTTATAGAGATGATGTAACATTTTAAAGTCATTGAAGTTGAGCTTCACGATCAAATTTATGATGATCTTTCCCAGTTACTGTCTGCACGTGATTTACAGTTGTTTCCTGGATGCATGTGTTAGCCTCTCTGTCATTCAATGTCTTTCCAGATCAGGCATTTTCAGTGCCTCCTTAAACAGGCCGAGTTCCTCATATTGTGGTGATCCCCAGGCATAAAATTATTTTCATTGCTACTTCATAACTGTAATTTTGGTACTGTTTTGAATTGTAATGTAAATATTTTTGGAGCTAGAGGTTCATAAAGGGGTCAAGGCCCAAAGGTTGAGAACTGCTTCTTGAATTCCAGCAAAGTACTGTGGCCCTGAGCTTCACCCAATGCCTTATTCCAGCATAGACTACGTTTAGTGTGAGTTCTTTCTGTTATCTTTCCTCCCAGAATCTGCTTGCAGTGGGTAACATTAATATGTTGAAATTGGTCTTGTTATTGCCACTGAAATATAAATGTAAGTTAAATTGACTTTTGCCAAACAAGAACAATATCAAATAAGGTACTTTAGGAAATACCTTGTGCTATGCACAGTGTTAGAAGTAAGAATAGCTATGTCAAAGTAATGAGCAAATCTATCACCTAAAATTGGTATCTAAACCCTTTGCTGAATTCAAAGGATATTTTCTGGTCCTTTTCTGACCTGTTTCCATGATGTCATTGAACCATTACTCTTTAGACACAATCTCACCATGTAGCCCATGCTGACCTCAAATTTGCACAAAAATCCATATTAAAAATTTAAAGGGTTTTGTCTAAATTTCATATTCCTTCCAGGGACTAGAAGTGTAGCATGCATGAGGCCCTGGGTTCAATCCTCAGCACCCACGTAAACTTGATATCTTCTGCATGCCTGTAATCTCCTACCTCAGTCTCCCAAACCCTGATAAACAGGTGTGAGGCATCAGACCCAGGGAACTGTAATTCCTGCTGTTCTGGCGTATGTAACTTGTTCCGTACACGATTCACCTGGCTGTTAAATTGTAGCTAGGTCACACATAGACATTTCTTCCACTGTAATTATTCACCCAGCGTGTCCCTAGTGACCAACAACCAGGAAAACCCATTCAGTCTCATTTTCTTCTGCTCATGGTGTCTCTCAGCTTGCATGCTTTATTCAGTTAATCAATTCATTCATTCGGTTCCATTATGGGCACTGAAATCACAGGTTCTGCAGATTAAGAAATGGACATCAGCACCTAGTGAAACTTGTAGCTTTGTTAATCTTTGGATCTCCAGCTTTTAAAGGACCAGCCTTACAAAACCTCCTCATTGACTCTTTCAGGGTCTGCTTCATTCACAGCTAAGCTTTTTACTGCACTGGCGTGGAATGACATGGGGACAGTATCCTTACCAGCATCCTTTTCTCTTTGTTTAATTTTTAATTAGCTTTCAAAGGCTGGATGGTCAAAAGGCTTCTTCCGACATCTTTAGTTTTTGTTAACTCACCCCTGCACAGTTTACCCTCCCCATCCCACTCTCCCCTACCAGCCTGCTGCCAGCCCCACTTATGCCTTTAACCTGGAATGTTCTCCCCCATTCTTTCATGCAACCTGTGTTTACTATCCCTTCTGATTATATTTTTTACTTTGGCTGCAAGATGTAGGTTTTCTTACAGCTTTTTCATATGCCCTTCATTCTAGTTAAGTCTTTTCCAATGTGTCACTTCCCCATCCATGTTTGAACCTTCCCACTCTGAGCATCCCCCCTCTCTACCTTGACTTTTTACCTATATTTTACTAAATCTACCTGCCCTCATGAATCCATCCCCAATGGCCTGTCTCTAATTACCTGGCTTCCACATGTACTCCAAAAACACACAAAAGAAAAATTTCAAAGCAAAGATACCTGTGTGAGAGACAGTACATGTGTCTTAATGAGGCGGGGTCTCGTGTACTCCTGGCTGGCCTTTTACTCACTGTGCAGCAAGGATGACCTAGAACTTCTGATTCTTCAGCCTTCGCCTCCCATGTCCTTCAGTTACAGGCAGGCAGCACCATGCCCTATTTGTGTTAGTGTTGAGGATGGAGCCCAGGACCAATTGACCTACATCCCTAGACTAGGGAAGAAACATACCATAAGAAGAAAAAAAATTATATGAACACTAAGTTTATCATGTGTATTTTTTGAGGCTGGTCTTTACTATGATGCCCAGGATGATATTAAAGCCCCGAGTTCAAGTGTTACACCTGCCTGGGCCTCCTGAGTAAATGACACTGTGGGTATGCACCTCTACATGAAATATGTTTCTTGAGCAGATTCTTGGCATGGCTCCTCTGCACATCCATCTCCGTGAGCATTCATGGAAAATGCTTCTGTGTATAGAAAAGAGCGGATGAATGGGCCCCTGCTGGAAAGGTGGCAACAGCTTCCCACTGACCTGTGAACCCAATCTAGACCTTCATTAACCGGAAACTGCCTCCAGGAGCTGACGATGTTTGACCCTGGGTGCTGTGCTGTTCCATGCACACCTCGGCTTCATTTTGTTTTGTGGGATTTTTATATTTAGCATAGAAGTGAGCTGCTCTGACATTTTTCATATGTTATGTTTTCATTTATGCTCTCACTACCTTTCCCACTCCTTCAAATAGACCTTCCCTCTCTCCACCCCAAACAGATTGACTTTCTGCGTCCATCTCATAGACACCATTATCCTCTTTGCCTCCCTCCTCCCCTTAGGTCCCCTCCTCCTGTCTCATAGTCACCTTTCTAGATGTGTGTGTGTGTGTGTGTGTGTGTGTGTGTGTGAGAGAGAGAGAGAGAGAGAGAGAGAGAGAGAGAGAGAGAGCGCACAACCCCTAGATGGCACATTTTATCACATCCTTCCACTGTCGGCCTCACTGCGGTCACTTAGTCCTTTACATGACAGATAATATATAATTTACTGTCTCTTGAAACTATGAGAGAAAAGGGAGTTCCTAATGATTTTAGTTACCAGTTTCAACTAGTCATGACAGGCTAAGGCTAGAGGTGATCTTCCTGATACCTGAGTCAATTCACAATATAATGATAAACAGATCTAATACACCTACTTTATAACTAAGATGGAAAAAAAACCACAGACAGTCTTGATCTTAACTCCCAGCACAATCTCTTCATACCACATTTAATCCATGATACAATTTCAGAAACGAACAAACAAATGCCAAGTTCTCCTTCCATAACCTACTTCCTATTACACCCACATCATGAGCCCCTCAGAGACCACCAGGAGTCAGAGTTCATATGCAAAAGCAAAGAACCTTTAATGCAAGATCCAGCTTGGGTTCTTCATCCATTCCAACACAGCGGTTGGATCAGGGAGAGCATCGAGTTCAGTTGAGGCAGAGTTTTTAATGAGTAAAGGATGGGGGTTAGGGGAATTCTGGATTCAGGTGGCAGTTGAACTCCTGATTGGCCGGAGTGAGGTAACAGAAGTTCTGTCAAACAGTGGTTGGTACTGGCTGCAAGGAAATTGGTAGCTTATATACAAATTAAGTATGCTATCCTTAATGAGCACTTAGTACTTGTTTGTCTCAATTCTGATTGTTCTCCTGCAGGGTACATTTGTGGCTTTTCCTGGTTATTGTAATGGTGAGACCTAGTTCTAATATTGTTAGTTTGCAGCCTGTCATGGCTGCCCTAATGTCAAGTTAGGCCTCTTCGCTTCTCTATAATGAAGGTAACATTCAAAGGTTCCCTGGCCTAGCAGCACTAATAGACTTTCAAATAGACTTTCAAAGCAGCAGCAAAGGTCTGGAGGAGTTGCATGTGTTTACTAGGGAATCTGTCAGGAGATGTTTAGGAAGGCATTTAGGAATCAAAATACAGATGCTTTAGCATCAAAGGAGCATTGGAAGGAAATTAGCAGCTCTAGTGTTTGTCTGGCTTTTCAGCTTGCTACCCCAAGATTGAACTACCAGCTCCTCCCCAGCCTCCCCTCTACTTGGCAAAATAAAACACTTTTTATATTGAAGGTATTGATTTGTTATAACATGGTGTCTTTCTTTCCCTTATTTAGTTTCTACTGATAATAATAATCTTAACTATGCAATCCAGCTCAACATCAGGGGAATGAGGAAATTACAAACCCAAAGAAGAGCAGCAGGACTCAAGGACTATAAGATATTAATAGCAGAAGGATGGGTGCCACAGTTGGATGGGTGCCCTCTGAGCTGCAGATGGGAGGATCTGGTGTTTAAGGTGTATGTCAGTCAGAACTGTCACAGCTGTCCCATAGTTGGCAGTGGTGAGCTTCTTGCTGAACTTGCTCTTCTTAGACCCAAGGTGCTCATGGATTCAACAACGATCATGTCTTCTTTAGCATTCCCAAGGACCATGTGTTTGCCATGAAAACACTGAGTCTCTGCAGTGCAGATGAAAACTGGGAATTGTTTGTCTTGGTTCATCATTTGCCATGGATGAAATACTAGGACCTGAATGTTCAGAATGACATTCTCATCCTTAAATTTCACCCCATAGATGGACTTCATATGAGTGACTATGGCACATAATGTCACCAGCCAGACATGAATCCTGGAATAATTCATTGAAAGGAGAAACACTCGTAACCAAATACTTCCTTTCAAATGCTCAGAGCAGCAAAGTTTTCTTCTGCCTTGGGAACTTTGCAAATAGCTAGAAGACTCAGCTTAAGGGTGGCTATCTATACCAAGGTTGAAGACCACTGTGGACTTGACCATAGATCTAGTGGCCACAGGGCACAGGGCAATCTGCAAATGATCTTTTTAAAAAAGTTAACAGAGAGGCACCATTCACCAAATGATGGAAACTGATGCAAACTCACAGCCACATACTAAAAGGAGTTCAGTGAATCCTAGAGAACAGGAGGAGGAAGGATTGTAGGAATCAGAGGGGTCAAGGACACCACAAGAAGACTCACAGAATCAACTAACCTGTATCCAATTAGTTCTTGGTTTCCTAGGCTATCCCACATGCATTCAATCCTCAAGTCCCTGCCCATCAAGTTTCTTACAAGATAAAGGTTTTAGCCTGGCGGTGGTGGTGTAAGCCATTAATCCCAGCACTCGGGAGGCAGAGCCAGTCGGATCTCTGTGAGTTCGAGGCCAGCTTGGGCTACCAAGTGAGTTCCAGGAAAGGCGCAAAACTACACAGAGAAACCCTGTCTTGAAAAAAAAAAGATACAGGTTTTAAAAGGAGCTGCACCATTAGAGCACTCACATGATGCAGAGTGCTGGGTGGCTTCCGTTTTAAATCCCCATGGCCAATCAGCAACGCGCAGGCCTTTGAAAGATTCCCAGTACCTTGTTTGTATTCGAGGGGGAGCAGAGCAAGTTTAGAAGCATGAAAGCAGCAGCCAAAGCTGGAAAGCTGGCTGGAGTACCAGCCGACCTCCGGAAAGCCAGGGTCCAGGGAGATGCAGGTCCCAGTGCCCCAGTGGCGGCCCCACTGTTGAAAGAGATTCCAGAGGTCTTAGTGGACAAATGCAGCAGGCGCCTTTATGTAAGGGGACGCTTTCTGAGTAAAGCAGGCGTTGTCAAATGCTTTGAGATCTCAGACCAAAACACAAAGGAGGTGTTCGCAGCCAAGATCGTGCCTAAGTCTTTGCTCACACCCTCCCAGAAGAAGAAGCTGTCCAAAGAGATTTCCATTCACCGCAGCCTCTCACATCAACACGTCGTCGGCTTCCACAGCGTTTTCGAAGACAGTGAATTTGTGTTTGTGATTTTGGAGCTTTGTCGGGAGAGGGTGTTCACACAGGGAATTTGCTGGCAAAGGGCTACTGATGCCTTGGAGTAGCCTTAGAGGAGTGCTTGGGTTTCAGGACTCTCTGTAAGGGCATGAGTTAACAGGAGAGGGTCCTGTGAATGATAATGACCAGTGTATGGGCAGAATCATCAGGAGTCTGCCAAGACCTCCCTTTAATCCCGAGAGCTTAGTCCTGGTCCCATCCAGCTGGCCACCCTTTTCGGTGGGCTTCAGTAACTTCTTCCTTCTCCCTCAGTCCCTCCTGGAGCTGCACAAGAGGAGGAAAGGCCTGACCCAGCTGGAGGCGCGCTACTACCTAAGGCAGATAATCCTGGGCTGCCAGTACCTGCACCACAATCAGGTCATTCACGGGAACCTTAGGTTGAGCAACGTCTTCCTGAACGAGGATATGGAGGTGAAAATAGGTAAGGTGCTGGACCTGCGGGTGCCTGGTGCCAGTACAAGAGGAGGCAAGGAGAGGAAATCTGGGAGAATGGGAGCCAGAGAAATGGAGGGCCGGTGGGACATGGAGGTGCTGCCCTCCAGAACTCCCTCTAGTCTAGAAATGGAAAGTGAGGGGCCCACACGCCAGTGTCTTGCCTTTAGATGCATTTGCTCTTTTTGTTTTTGTGTTTGCTGTTGCTGTCTTGTGTATCTCAATACAGTAGTTCTGAAAATAATAGTTTACTTGGGGGTGCCTCCCCCAATTACTACCCTATCTCACAGCACTGAGCTAGGTGCTCCTCAGTTTCCCTTTTAAACTGGAGGTCTAGACGTATGCCGTGGAGCAAGGCTGGCAGCATTCCCTTAGCTGTCCCTTTACTGAGCTGAAAAGTCCTATTCCCTTGAGACTCTGATTTGCCTCAGCCCCTGTACCCATGTCACCTTTTTTACCTTGTCCATCAGCAGTCCGAAGAGTGTTTACTTGGTTCCCCAGTGCATCCAATTCTGTTGTCTCGGGTCTTAAATGTCATTTATTTACGTGAGGGGTGGGGATAGGAGGTAACTTTCAGGAGTCGGTTGAGCCCTTGCACTGTGTGAGTCCCAGGGTCAACTCCAGCCATCTGTCTTAGAGGCATGCACCTCTGCCCACTGAGCCATCTTACTGCCCTAGCCCTGCTCTCTAAAAGAGCAGTGTAAAGAGCAGTGGGAAGCCAGCCAGGGCCAGCAAAGTAGAAAGGTTCCCAGAACAGAGACTTTGGAGTCTGATTCTCAATGGTCAGACCTGAGGCAGCTGTCTGCAACCACAGGTGACCCACACCTAGCAGCTGAGTGCCCTCTCTTCTTTCCTCTGTCCCAGGGGGTTTCGGGCTGGCAACCAAAGTGGAATATGAAGAGGAACAAATGAAGACCTTTTGTAGCCCACAGAACTTCGTAGCTCCCGAAGCGGTGAGACTGGGAAGTTTTGAGGAGGATGTATGGTCCATCGGGTGCATCATGTAAGTTGGGAATGGACTCAGGAGTTATGGGTCTCAATGGGGCTTTCTGAGGCACTTCATCCAGTTGACCTTACCCTCTGGATCCTTCTTCCTTAGAGAAAGGCTATTTCAGGGAGCAGGTTGCCCACATGAAGCCCTATTTCCTTATCAATCTGGTGTAGGATGTAGGATTTCCTGTAGCTTGGACTTATGGTCCAGAGAAGGGACGAGAAAGTCTCTACAATTCTTCCTCCAGCTCTTTGCTGTTTACTAAAAGCATGCACAGACCCAAACCATCAACACCCGAGGGCTTGTTAGGACTATGGAATCTCAGTTCTGAACCTGGGTTTAATTGTGTCCCTGGCGGATTTTTTGTTTTGTTTTGTTTTTGGTTTTTTTTTTTGTTTGTTTTTCGAGACAGGGTTTCTCTGTGTAGCTTTGCGCCTTTCCTGGAACTCACTTGGTAGTCCAGGCTGGCCTTGAACTCACAGAGATCCGCCTGGCTCTGCCTCCCGAGTGCTGGGATTAAAGGCGTGCGCCACCACCGCCCGGCTCCTGGT